CATGTTTCCGTTATACAGACCACATCTGGTTCCACTTGGTACATAGTAATCTATTGGTACTAAGGTGCTCAACTGTATCGTGCAGAAACCTGTTTTTATTGTAACAGCGTGATTTGCTGGAACATGAAACAGCGTAGATTAGACCTGCAATGATTTTTGGAAACTTTTAGCACGGCCTTTCAACTACTATAGAAGTTTGAGTTTGCAGGTTTGTGACACAATTTACGGCATCCCTCTGCAACTTTTCGATTTCGGATTATTTTGTCCAGAAAATAGTTCTTTGGACGTCAGATGATGAGATACCCTTCTCTTAGAGTCTAGGAATCCACGTCGGCAAGGTGGAAGTTCGAGTTCAAATTCGTATACTTTTCAATTACAATAACCGTCGCTGGTTATTTATTGGTCATTATTTGATGGATAAGTCACAGTTCCTAACAGTACTCAACGGAATTCCGCGAACTTAATGATTGAGAACTGTCAACCTGCATGTCAGTTTGTTTTTGTTTTATCCGCAGTTTTAAGTGTTTTCGCGCGTTGTCGGGAAAACAATCCTCCGTGGTACTTTTATTTGCTCCACAGAATCACTTCCCTCTTTTACTTAAAACCCCCCTTTATTATTCATTTTCGATTCCTAGGGAATTACCGATGGCTACTTTCGCCTAGGTTCCATCGGTTTCTTTCGATCGCGTGCATCTGGCTTGTTCTTCTTGAAGTCGCACATCGAGGTCGACAACTGTTCACTTACGTGCATAAAATTTACCTCAAAATCCGTCTTAACCTCCGCCGCCACCGAGAACGGAATTTCACCTTTTAATTTTCTTGGCCTTCTTCACCCTCATCTCGAGCTAACGATTACTTCTAATGGTTCATTTCTCCCAGCCATTGTATTAACATTCCATACAGTTCACTTTTTTCAACAAGGTTTGAACGCGCAAGCACGAATGTTCCCTTTCGGACTTGTTTTCTTTTGTAGGCGAAAGCAGGTTTAATAGACAATACATTGCAACCGGTGTTAACGCATAGAAGTACTACCCAATATTAAATTATCAAAATAAGTGTTTACTATACTATTATGCGGTATGAATTAACGAGGCAAGAACGGAATATAATTGTTCCGTAAACATTATTTATTACAGGGGATTCGAAGTGTTCTTGTCATTGACATATTATGGACACCGTCAGCATTTCTTAAACGCCTCGGACAAGTTGTCTTCTACGTATCAACAGGGCATTTCGTATTGCAGACTGTTTAGTCTTAGTGCTCTTAAAACCAGGAAGGCCGCAGATAGCATTCCCGGCAACGACAATGGAGTAGTCACTTCTGGCTCATTAGTCGTCACGAGCCAGTCATGCCCAAGTGGCGCCCCACCCCAGACTCGAACCCGCGACCCTTAGATCAGAATGCTACTGCCTAGTCTACCAGTCGCCCTGCGGCTGCTGGTCAGACTCGAGAATGAGCCCCGAGACAGAGCGGGACGAGTGACTTCCGTTAGCGATCGGTGAACGCTAATCAGCCAGTCTTGCATTTATTGTGTTAAGGCATTTTTACTGCCCAATGGAACCTGGGCCATAATCTTTCTAACTAGAGTGTTAGTAACTGTTATAAGCAATCATAAGTAAGTAATACAGTAATTCTGGTTTGCGAAGATGCCTGCGTTCAGAGAAGCAGTCGCTGGAATGA